TTTTTTTTTGTTTCGCAGAGTAAGAGTAGTACACTACACGAACCCTGTGAAGAAGCTGTAGATGTTTTTTATCATGTGCCCATATGGAGTCAATGGGGTATAAAAGAATACGATTAAAACGTTTGCATAAGTGCGTTTTACCCTTTTTCATCGGTGTTCTCTTTGTTGTGAAAAATTATGAGGTGGTTACTTCGGTCCATGTGTGGAATTTACCTGGTGATAGTGAGGAGTAATGTTTTTAGGAGACTCATAATGGATGCTGCGGAAGTGTTGTTATTTTACTTTACTAGGCTTTTTTTTTATAATTTGTACTTTTTTTGGCATTCCCTTCGTTTTGTGTTAGTTATACAAGGAGGTATAACAGGTAATAAGTCCCCCGGCAACACCTTTGAGCCTTAACCCTTGGTGAGGGAGAGGGGGTTGCTTGTAAACGGCTGCTGGAAGGTGGGAAAGGAGGGGGTTGCTATGCCTCCTCGACGTGCACCCGTAAAGCGTGCGGCAGTATCTTCTAGGAACGCGAAGGGGTCGCAGAGACTACATGAGGCTAGTGGATTTCCAATGGAAGCGACAACGCCAACGCGGAAGCTAGAATTCGGGAATGGGTCGGGTGTCACGAACAACGGCTCCACATTGCGGGTTTGGGAAAAGGACATTGCGGTGTTTCTCGCGTCCAAGCCAGGCCCTTCTCTGGTGGCGGACCCGTTGTGCCAACTGAGGTTGGGGGACAGAGAGGAGTTGAACGAGCACAGGAAGCCTGCTGGCACGGACTCGGTGACATCTTCTACGCCCGTGCCGGCTCGTAGCCAGCTCGAGGCTCAACGTGAAACAACACGACAAGGGTGCGGTGGCAAGGGAGATAGAATGAGCTATCATAATGGATCCCCGTCCACCAAAAAAATGCACAACCCCTCGCCCTCCGGAGCCACAGTGGATGACGAGGAGGAGCGTGTGATTATCGGTGGGGAGGTGCCAAATTCCGTTGCAGATCACTTCTACCGTCACCGCCTTATGGCGAATTCCCCAGCTAGGGAGCGTGTTTCGTTGACCCCAAGACTCATCCCGACACCTGATGGTCCCATGTGTCGGGCACAAATGGCCTCTCAATACACCGCGGACATTGCACCAACGTTAGCTGTACAGGATCTGTCGCCGTCTCGTGATGCCGGTGGCATTCCTCAGTATATTTGGACTTACGAGAGCCAGCGTGATGCTGCTGCAGTGACTTCAGTAGCAGCCGCAGTTGCAAGAATGAATGGCGCGCTGCCGGAGACAATCGATGATGGCTGTCTGAAGGAAACACCAACGGTGTTGAGCCAATCTCTCCCTCTCACAGCCCCGGTGCTGGGGGACTCTATTGATAAGGTGTCACGTCCTTCTCAAGCCGATGACGTGCAACAGTACATCGAGGAGGAAGGTGAGGAAAAGGAAGCACTTGTCATACCACCACCTCTCTCATTGGCGAGCAGCACTGGTGAAGCGGATGATGATGATGATGATGACGCTCCCTTTTTTCACCGGGTCACATCCGTGCGTGCACGTTTAGCGTCGAGAGCGGGGTCGTCGACGGCAACATCTAAGCCTCACTACAGGGTGGGGATGCGAGTGGAAGGTCAGTGGGGGCGAGGGTGGTTTGGCGCAGTGGTCACGGAGGAAGAGAAGAATGGCTTTGTGCAGATTCGCTGGGATCAGGATGGTTCCATGCTGCATCTCAAGGTGAAGGAGGTTCGCCAACCACGTGGGAAGGTAAGTAACGATAGTAAGAGCACCGAGGACAAGCCAGCAGTGCCCCCTCTCATGAGAGCGACACAGCTAGTGGAGCTCATGGATAATGAGACACCTGTTCGCCTCCCGTCAGTAGAAAATGAAAGAAAGTTGGGCGATGCAGATGGGGATATCTGGGTAAGTCCCTCAATCCTCACTCTGTACCTAGCGCAAGATGAGAAGAATTATTCGGCAGACTCTTCTCGTGTTCTCAATGTGCTGGTGGAAAGAGGGGCCGTTGTGGTAATGGTGTCCCCTTCGCACTTGGAGTTTCTTGGCGAGGATGGAGCCCTTGCCTGGCGACAACAGATGCAACGCATGTTTTTCTTTGTTCTCTCTGAGGATGCTGTAGGAGAGGGTTACGAGATGGGCATCACACTGGCACACGCCATGGGTGTCTCTGCCGTTTCTGTGAAGTGGTTGCAGCGTCTTGCGTCATCTATTGGGGAGGAATGCCAGCGTGTGTGTATCCCCAAGCCACAGGAGTTGTTGGGACAGGGGAGTGACACTGACGTGCGTTGGCGACCGCTGTCGAGAGACGAGCGATTCTTAGGCCGCAAGATAGTTTATCTCGCTGGGGAAGACACCGACATCGAGTTCCTTATCGTCGCGTGTGGCGGTGCAGTAAAGCATCAGGCGTCCGCGAATGGGGCCCCGTCGCCGCACTACGTATACGTCGCCCCGGGAAGGCGGGCACAGATTCCACCCACCGCCATGTCGGTGGCCTTGTTGGAGAAATCGTGGCTGATTCACCGTATCCATGAGTTCTTCCTTGCGCTGCCCCCGTCGCAGCTTGTGCAGGAGAGCTGTGGTAATGCTCCCAGCAGCCCTCTCCTTGCAGGGTTGACGGCCGGTGCCAAGCGGGTGCGACAGCAGCAGGAGGAGGAGGAGGAGGACGACGACGACGAAGAACTCATCGGTGCACAGTCGCCGACACGACGTACGAACTGTGGGGTGAATCGCACGCCAACTCCTCCTGGCGACGCGCTGGAGGTGGTGAAGGGTGAGGACTATTACTTCCGTGTGGCACCGGTGGGAAGAAGCAACGAGGCGCCAGAAGTGGCGTTGGGCCGCGTTGTGTCTCTCGGTGACGACAGCAACCGTGTGATGATGCGTCTCTACGAGGTGAAGCACACGGTGCTGCGGCAGAACCCCTGCACAGGAGGGCTCGAGAGTCACACGACCGTCTACTTGGGGACACGCACCGCGAACGTGTCAGTGGAAGACCTCATCTTCACCATCCCCGTCTACGTTGTGGATGCATCGCAAATGCGACACGTCTACACACTCGAATCGCCTCCACGTGGAGCTGACGCCTCCACCGCCGCTGCTGCTGCCGCCGCCGCCGCCGCCACGACTACAGCTATTTCCGTGAAAGAGGAAGAGGGTGTGATGCGACAACAACGGCCGGTAGACGCGCAGCCGTCAGTGGCGCTTTGCCCCAGTGGGCCGCCTCTGGCGTCTCTGTCACGCATGACCTACATGCGCTCTGGCAACCAGCAGCAGCACCAGCAGGGTGTTGTGTTTAGCGAAATTCTCATCAACGGCTGGCGTGTGCGCTCTGGCGTGGATGTATACTTCCATGACGGCTTGCCGTCGGGTCAGTCGGGGATGTCTGCACCGGTGCGGGAGAGTGTCGGTCGTGTACAGATGATTCAGCGTGTAGCGTTTGGCGTGGTTCTTGTTGTGCATAAGGCGGAGGCCAACAGTATCTTTGGTGGGTCAAAGATGGTTGTGATAACTCCAGACATGGTGACTGGTGTTGTATAACTCTGCATGCTCCTCTCGCTTCAGAAAACTGCCAAAAACTGTGCATTAAGAGGAAAGAAGTTGACGGGTGATTCTGTGCAGCGTCGAACTGTGGTGGGCGAAGTGATATCGGTGCATTCCAGTTGTGGTGTATGCATCATGTTTTCTTTTTCCCATTTTATCTTTTGTTTTCCTGTCCTTATAATGCCTGTAAATGCGTGCATATATGTGTGTGCGTGTGTGTGATGGAGCGGATGACAGACGTGTTGTACGATCCTCTCGTCGATGTTGACGCCGTCTCCTTTGAGTACCCGTTCAGCAGCAACAATAAGGCGGCTGGAGGCATCCACGGCGTCAACCTCCGCGTGCACCGCGGCGACCGTGTGCTGGTCGTTGGGCATAATGGCAGCGGCAAGTCGACGCTTCTCGCCGTCGTTGCAGGCCGGCGGAAGGCGTCGAAGGGCCGTGCCACTGTGCTTGGCACCGACGCCTTCGACAACACACGTCTGCAGCAGCACGTCGCGCTTATAGGCAACCCATGGCCACCGGAGGCGTTCTTTGCCAGCACCGTCGCCAGTATCGCGTCACCAGCGCCGCTGCTGGAGCGGAGGCAGCGCATCGCTGACGCGCTTCACCTCCCGCTGCAGCGCTCCGTCAGTAACATGAGTTCAGGAGAAAAGCGGCGCGTTCAAATCCTTCACGGCATGCTGCAGCAGAGCCTTGTCTACCTTCTGGACGAATGCAGCACGGACATTGATGTGGCGGAGCGCAAGACGGTGCTTGAGCTCATAAAATCGGAGTGCAGTGTCAACAGAGGGTGTTGCCTGTACGCAACTCACATTTTTGACGGCGTTAGCAACTGGGCAACGCACGTCCTTTTGATGCAGAACGGCTGTGTTGTTGATTTTAAGAAGATGAATGATATTGAAGAGCCATTGGAGGTGTTTGCACACAAATTCCTTGCAAGGCAGCGTGGGGGATCGTTTAGTCGTGCAATCCTTGATGCGCCTGTAACAAAGGAAGTGGAGACAAATACCAACATCAACTACAAGGGTGAAGGAGAGCGAACTCTGGCTACTGAAGAGGAGGCTGTTATCGTGTGCCGGCAGCTGCAGTACAAGGATATCTTCAGAGACCTCACTTTTACGATTTACAAAGGGGAGCGTGTGCTGCTTTGTGGTTGTAACGGGGCCGGGAAGTCGACACTGCTGAATATGATGGGTGGAAAACAGTTCTTCAACAACCGAAGTAAGGCCCTGCGTATTCTCGGAAAGGCTTGCTACGAGGATATGACACTCAACAGCCTTGTTGCGTTCGGCGGTGACTGGTGGACGGTCGCACCACCGGGCGAAGTGCATGTCAGGGAGATGCTGCAGCTCCGCACTCCACGGTCACAGCAGTTGTGTGATCTTCTCGATGTGGACTTGGATTGGGACGTCCGCCACATTTCTCTCGGCCACCAGAAGCGTGTGCAGCTGCTGCTACATCTTCTGGAAGATAAGCCCATTGTTCTCCTCGATGAAGCGACCTCTGATCTTGACCTTGACCAACGGCATGCGTTGCTGTCATTCCTGTACAACGAGAGCGTCAGTCGCGGCGTGACTGTGGTGTACGCAACGCACATCTTTGGTGGGTTGGGCAACTGGCCGTCAGCCGTCATGATACTTGACCGCACTAAACGAGGCCTCCACGCGATGTGGCGCAGCGGAGACAGCAACGCAAACGGTGGGGGCAGCATGGATTGGCGACGCGTCACGGATGAGCTTATCGCCTTAAAGAAGAGGGAGAATACCGATTTGACTAGTGCGTAGGTGATCACAGAAATCGGCCAGCAGGAGAAATATACTCTTCTACTACGACCTTTCTTCTTACACCCTACTCTTGAACGCATCCTTCCCTGTGTTTTCACTGCAGCTTTCTCTCATTTACAACACTCTCTGTTTCTACTTCTTGTGGTGGCTTCAACCTCTGCGGCAGGCCGCGCCAGAAGGAAAGCGATGCATGGGGGGCGAGCAGGCACCACGAGGGCGTCTGCGCTGCAGCAGCCGGTGCGGTCCAGTCGCGGCGGCTACCTGCGGTGTCCATTCAGCATTCAGGCCCCTTTCGTAGAGATGGCGGAGCGGCACGCGGGTGGCGACTTCAACGGCAGCAAAGCGCACGCAGTGCACAGCGACGACAACGACAATGACGAAAACTTCCGCCCGTGGAGCCGTGCGGGTGTCGGGGCGAAGCAGCTCAGTGCGAAGGAGCGACGGGCGCAGCAGCAAGAAGCGGAGCGTATCTACGGCGCCGTCGCCGCGGACGATGCGGACGTCGGCGCCGACACGGCGACGAGCATGCCGGTGGCCCTCGCGCCGTGGGAGAAGTCCGCTCTGCACCGCGTCGTGCCGCGCGCGGTAGTCCGCAGCAAGGGAAAGCGTGACAACACAGAGACGGTGCAGCAGCGGCCACAACAGGTGGGCCCCTCGTCAGCCGGGCACAAACGTGGGTGTGAGGGCCGCGCGCCGGGCGAAGGTGCAGAGAGGCAGCGGCAGAA